ATTTCAGTTTTTTTTTAAATACTAGTATAACATTATTTGTAATATAAAATTACAATAATTTATTAATGTTAAAAAATAATTATAATTTTTTTTGGCTCCTACACCCCGGCCCCATAGTTATAATAATGTAAATTAACAATTAAAGGGGTCATATGATGTTGCTAAAAATAACTTTCTTTTGTGTATTTGGTGTAATGAAATGTTTATGCGGTTTAAGGTAAGAAAAACATTATTTTCCACATACTGTACATTATTGTTTCTCCTCTATGCCCTGCCTTTCTGAAACACGTCGATTTTTACAAAGCTCATCGGTCTGAAAAGCGAGGTGTGCTGTGATTGGCCAGCTATCCAGTGCGTTGTGATTGGCCGAATACCTCAAGCGTGAGACGGAAATGTTACGCCCCTCACCATACTGTGATGCAGTGCCCCGACCATACAGTCTATGTTCCCGGCGCAACGCGACAAAACCAATAAAACCCACTACAAAAACATGAAAACCCTTTACAAACGAGGCATTTGTTGCATCCAGTGGGGACATAATTATTGATTATAATGACTTTTTAAGCATTGTGTTGCACGCCACGTAAACATAAAAGCATATCTGCATTTGTGATCGGAGAAACGACAAACAACAACCCCTACTCTACACTGCTCAAAACTCAGCTACTCTACACTGCTTGAATCATCAGTGGCAAATTATTTAATTATAAAAAATGTACTTACAGTCTGTGAGTCAGAAGCGCCAGACTGTTCTTGCAAAGTTGGAACTGCCCCACTTAAAAACAGCCTTTGAGCACAGACCCATTGTAGGCTGCAGGTTCAGGAAACAGTCCTCCATAAAATGTGTGGCACAGCATCACACATATGTGGCTAGAGTGAGGAACGGGCGGTGGGCTTGAGAACGGCGCGGCCGGCGGATTCGACGAAGGAGCGTCTGTCGGGCCTGCGGCAACCACATGTGACGACCCCGGGCTGGACTCCACTTCGTCCACGGTGAAAGCCGATCCGGCGATCCACAGAGTGAAGTTGAAGTATTTCCTCAGCGACCAGCACGGATCAGCTCTAGGCATGACGAAGCAGATATCGTCCTCTTTTGGAAGACCAAACAAAGTAGTTTCGCTTTCACAACGAAACACAGCATCTTCACAACATGGCGGCGGCAACAACAATACTGCAGCGAGAATAAAAGTTACGCCTTCTTTCTTTGCGTGCACATTTGGGCGGCGTTATGCAAATCTTCCCACACAGTGAGGTAGACATGTGGGGGCGTCTTAGAACGACTCTTAACTTTGATAAAGAATATCTCTTTGGATTTGAGACTTTAGTCTTTGCAACTTTACAGATCTTCTTTATGCACCAAGAGCTTGTAACACTCCAAAGAGAAAGGAAAACTTGAAATCGCATCATATGACCCGTTTAAACAACATATACATGAAAGGAGCCATAAATGTCTTTATATGGGAATTTGGATTCAGCTTCAGTTCTCTGCTTCCAGCAATAGACAGATTTTGGATATAGGTCTATCCAACTGGCCTGTGTTTGTCTTAAGTTGGACTGATCTGACAAATCCACTTTTATCAGGATAGGTCTTGATTATTCTTCCCAACAACCGGGAGCCACGAGGGGCTACAGGATCCACAATGACAACAATGTCTCCCACTGAAAAGCTTCTTCATGGCTTTATACATTTCTGTATCTCTTGTTGTAATGTTAAATATTCCCATACCCATCTTTTTCATTTAAAATCACTCCCCCAAAATTTTTGTACTGTCATAAATTTCCAAAATGTTCTGATCAGTGGTGATTGAAGGCTTCACGTTCCCGCCTCATGCTAGTGACATGCAAGACCTTGCATTTCTTTGGGTTAAGTTTTATTTTACGCTTCTCTACCCAAAGTTAAGACTGTTCAATGTCTGTTGAAGGGTACAAGGTAGTTGAGGAGTCCATCGCTGGGTAATTGTCATGTCATAACCTTATATACAAAGTCCATTAGATTAAGATTATGAGTTGTAGAATAGCTCTGTTGACTGCCAAACTGCATGCAATCTTTAAAAACAATAAACTTAATTTAAATATGAATTGTGCATGGTCATTCTTGATCTGTTCAGGATGGAAAGCAGCAACTGGTAAATTTCTAGTCTGGTGTCTGAGAAGGAAGAATTTCCAACAATTAAAGTTATATTATAAACAAGATTCGCCTCTAGGACAAACAATCATCTTTATAAAGCATTTTAAGTCTTGATTTTGTTTTGGGGGTGTACTAGAACAGGCTCTCATACTAGGTTGTTCGAAAAACACATATTTTACATTATTATAACACCTCTCTCCCCAGTCTGGCATGAACGGCTCGAATAGTTCCTGTATCAAATGAAGGCCCGCCTGCTGAAATACGAAATGTGCTGTGATTGGTTAGCTGGGCTTTTTTTCACAAAAAGTGAAAAAGCATAATAGGACCCCTTTAAGAAATGAATAGCCATATTATAGTGTAGCAGCTGCAGTAGCTTTACCTGTAAGTATCATAAAATTTGTGGACAAACATTGATTCTATGTGCATTTTGAATGCACCTGCCAAGAAAACAAAATTATTTAGTGTTTTAATATAATTCACTCTGCTTGGTTTTCACCGTCTATATCATGCAGGCCTATATTATTAAATATTCATGTTAAATTAGTTAATATATATATATGTTTAGTGGAGATTGATGACCATCGGTGAATCACTTAAAATGAAATAACTTGATTTCTTAAGAAAGAAACGAAACCCCTCCATCTAATATGTTAGTTAGTTGTCGTTTACACTGATACTCTCTGTGTGTTCAGAGAATGTTCTTGAGCTCTCTCTGAAGCTGTGCGCGTGTTTAAGTCTCCGCAGGAGGACGCTGGTGAGCTCATCTGATCGTCACGTGACTTTCGCTTTAGAAACCGAACGGAGTTGCTGATATAATGGCTCACAGCGCGTGTAAGATCTGGATTTAACTAACCAGAGACCTGTACTAACATGCTGCTTCAGTTAACCAACAGAATGAACTCTAACTGAGAATGGATGATCTCCCTTAATCAACTAAACCTTTTCTCTCTCTCGAGTTGTTTGCTGCGCTGTTGTGCTGGCCTGTGTTAGTTTAATTTGGCCAGATTCTACACAAACTCTTCCTACAGCGAGAGAAATTCGTGCAAGGCATAACAACATAACAACAAGACTAATTCTATTTTTAGGCATGCTGTTTTTATATTGTTGTCATAATGCCACAACACTGAAAACTAACTGACTAACTGGTAATTTGATTACTTTTACAAACTAAGGCTCATTACAGTATGCTGCTTGTAGAAATCGTCCAAAGTTCTTCTCAGCGTGTTACTGAGGAGATTGTAACGTCAGACTTTTGTTTCAGTGATTGCTGCACATGATCTTGCTTGCAGCAGATCCAGCATGGACCCTCCTCCTAGCAGTAAGTATTTATATTTATAAATGCATGAAGAAAATGAAGAGTGTGTGGAGATTATGGGCAGTTCATTCACTTCAAAACAGAATTAAATTGCAAATATGCATCCTACTGTTGGATTCTGTGTGTTTTTTTCTAGATCAAGCATGTTTTGTGTGTTTCAGTGAGTGATCTGAGGATTGTTCTTCTGGGGAAGAGCGTGTCAGAAAACAGTCGTGTGGGAAACTTCATCTTAGGACGAGCAGCGTTTGACAGTGAAGCTCCTCCAGATGTTGTAGAGAGAGTCGGAGGAAGACTGAAGGACAGACACCTGATCATCATCAACAGTCCTCAGCTGCTCCAGACGAACATCTCAGATCATCAGCTCACACAGACAGTGAGAGAGTGTGTGCATCTGTCTGATCCAGGACCTCATATCTTCATAATCACACTGCAGTATAAAGACTTCACCGAGGAGGACCTGAGAAGAGTGAAATATATGCTGGAGAGATTCAGTGAAGAGGCCGTTAAACGCTCTATAGTGATCACGACTGATGAAGAGGCGCATGATGCTGCGAGAGCTAATGAATTAATTCAGCAGTTAATTATCAAATGTGGAGGAGGACATCTGCAGCTTGATCATAAAAACGAGGAATGCTGCTCTATAATATTGCAGCGATTAGAGAAGATCCTCGGAGATAACAGTGAAGAGGATCTGTATCATGATGCAGAAGGATCATCAGTCGATGAAGATCAGAGCAGATCTTTTGTTTCACTCCGAATAGAGGAGGAAGAGGAAGATTTGGATGAAGATGATGATGGAAAATCCCAAGACACTCATATAGAGAAAAAGGAAGCCAAAGGTTTTCTTCATAATATACCAAAACTATCCTTTTGTACGTATTCCTACTTTTGCAGTTACATATTCAGCACCAGGTTACTGAATACTAGGAACTTGTATAACATTCAGCTGTTTTGGGTGGGTGGCCAAAAACAGTGATTCTGTCATAATATCGGTAGTAGTATTGAGAGTTTTTATGCCTTGACTACAGTATCTTTCTTGCAGTATAATTCAGGCCAAGTCATTTTGTGTATAGCCATTTGATTGATTTACTTATGCATGATGGATCAGAGCTACTCAAAACTCACCAGAGGATTCAGAAGCACCAAGTTTCTTTATCAGGGTCAGTTTGTTTAATTAAAGAAGCAGCTCATATAAATATCTCTCTCAGTACTTTAAATGTGATCAGAGACGCTCATATGAGATACTGTAATGTACAACAGTTTCAATTATGATGCATCATTGCGTATTGAATCATAATATATGTTTGGCAATGTCTCATAGTAAATACATGCAGAGTGAATTAAGGTTAAATATAGGAACTGTAGGCAGCATCATAGGTTTGAGACAACGAGAATTGTTCTGTATTCATGTATTCACTCATTTTTTACAGTTAGTACTCCAGATCCGAGACATGAGCGTGAGCAAGCAAAGAGTAAGTTTATGAACCAAGCAAGTTTTTCAATTGCTGTAACATTTACTAAATTAATATAATTTAAAAATATATCTGAAAATGTTGCAGTAACCTTTTTTTTTTTGGTGTTGTTTAAGGAAGTGTACATGCGAGCAGGAAACCGAAGCTGTGTGTTGTGTTGTGTGGAAGTGATGGAAGACTGAAGGCCTCCGTATCTAAACTTATAAGAGGAAAAAAGCAGTTTCTTTCCCCCTTGCACCAGAAAGAGAAAGAGTGTGTGAGGAGAGACGTGGAGATTCATGCTCATCTGATGAGTCTGGTGAAGCTTCCAGCTCTGACTCGGCTCTCAGAGGAGGACGTGATGCATCAGACTCTCAACTGTGTGTCTCTCTGTGATCCTGGAGTTCATGTTTTCCTCCTCATTGTTCCTGCTGGTCCACTGACTGATGAAGACAAAGCAGAAATGGAGGAGATCCAGAAGATATTCAGCTCAAGGATCAAAAACCACCTCATGGTTCTTATAATCCAAGAGAAGAACATGTTTAGTAAATGGATTAGTAGTAAAAGTAGTCTACATAGTATTTCATCTGCTCTGATGTGTCTTCAGTCATTTGAAGGTCGTCAGTTTGTTTTGGAGAACAGCTCACGGATTCCAGATCTACTGCAGGATGTGAAGAACATGGTGCAAGAGAATGGAGGAAGTTGTTACACAACCTTCATGTACCTTCAGGCTCGAGTAGAACTGGAGAGAAACAAACACAGAGCTGAAATAGAGGAACTGAGAAGATCTATGATGAATACTCAGTCAACAGCAGGTATGAGTTTGACATTATGTGATCAGGTCTTCCTGGGAAGTTTGTTTTCATTCACATCACTTTGAAAAATTCATTTTTTTTAACTCTACTTTTACAAAATGATGAATAAATAATGTGCATTGCTTTGTTTTTATTCAATTTATGAAGATCCTGTAAATTAAATTGTTATATACATCCACCTAATTTTGCAATACGTAAGTAACTGTTTTCTGTGAATATAACTAGAAGAATAAAGGAAAACGGTAAAAGTATTTGCGCTACAAACCAGTGTTTTTGTAATTACGAGTGTAATTAAAACAATATGGTATGAAATACCAGTCTGCAATTTCAAGCGGCATAACAGTCTGTCCTGTGAAGTTTAAAGGGGGTCATATGATGTTGCTAAAAAGAACATTATTTTGTGTATTTGGTGTAATACAATGTGTTTATGCGGTTTAAGGTTAAAAAAACACATTATTTTCCACATAATGTACATTATTGTTTCTCCTTGAGTGAGCGGAGGCGGGCTGGAGTGAGCGGGGGCGGGCTAGAGTGAGCGGCGGCGGGCGGGCTTGAGTGAGCGGAGGCGGGTGAGCTAGAGTGAGCATCGGCAGGTGGGCTAGAGTGAGCGGAGGCCGGCGGGCTTGAGTGAGCGTCGGCAGGTGGGCTTGAGTGAGCGGAGGCGGGTGGGCTAGAGTGAGCGGAGGCCGGCGGGCTTGAGTGAGCGGCGGCTTTTATAAAGAATATCTCTTTGGATTTGTGACTTTAGTCTTTGCAACTTTACAGATTTTCTTTATGCACCAAGAGCTTGTAACACTCCAAAGAGAAAGGAAAAATTTAAATTGCATCATATGACCCCTTTAAATAATGAAGCGGATGACACTGGAAGCCAGACACATTCAGTTTACAGTAGCCATGTTGCTCTGACATTAAAATTAGAATATTTTATTGTAATTGTACATTTTTTTTTTTGTAAATACTATTGAAATTTTTATTACATGCAACTTAGTTTTATTGTAAATGGGGAAAAAACGAGAATCATTTATTGACACAGACACAGCATCCATTGCATTTGACATCAACAATGTCATGATTCTTTGCTTGTGTTCCTCAGTCTTTTTGTAATCTTATTTCAAAATGTATTTCCCCAGGTTTTCTGTGCTCTTTTCCTGTGTTCTGTGTCCCTGATTGCCTACCTGCCTTATCTGCTACGATAAGGTAGCAGATAAGGCAGGTAGGCAAGGCAGTCCCCCCCCCCCTGGAAAAATGAAACCATGGCTGCTATAGGAAATGTGATTTTATTTTTGTTTCGTGTTTCACATCAGTAATTGTTTGTCTCCTTCTGTTTCTAGGTTTAACACACAATTATGTTGCTGTGAGGATTGTGCTGCTGGGAAAGACAGGTGCTGGGAAAAGTGCAACGGGAAACACAATACTGGGAAGAGAAGCTTTTATATCAAAACTGACTTCACGCTCAGTGACCAGAGAGTGTGAGAAAGAAACCTCTGAGTTCAACAGAAGACGGATTACTGTGATCGACACTCCAGGCCTGTTTGATACTGGAGTTGATAATGTTGAGACCAGGAAGGAGATTGTGAAGTGTGTCTCAATGGCAGCACCTGGACCACATGTGTTTCTGCTGGTGATTCAACTGGGACGATTCACTCAAGAGGAGAAAGATGCAGTGAAGATGATCCAGGACATGTTTGGAGACAAATCCAGAATGTATACCATGGTGCTCTTCACCAGAGGAGATGATCTTAGAGGATCAAGAGTTGAAGATTTTATTGAAGGTGATGATAGCTTACAGTACCTCATCAAGCAGTGTGGTCACAGATACCATGTGTTCAGTAACAAAGACACTAAAGATCAGATGCAGGTTTCTGAGCTGCTGGATAAGATTGACTGTATGGTGGCAGCAAATGGACAAAGTTTCTACACCAATGAGATGTTCCAGCAGGTGGAGAAGAACATCAGAGAAGAGCAAGAAAGAATCATGAAAGAGCGAGAAGAAGAGATCAAGAGAAAAGAAGAAGAATTGAGAGCCAAATATGAAGCAGAAATAGAAGAAATTAAGAAAGAAAATGAGAGAGAAAGACAAGAGATGCAGAATGAACTGAGAAAAAGTGAAGAAGAATTCAAAAAGAGAGAAGAAGAGATCAAGAAAGAAACAGACGAAAATCTACAAAAAGAGCTGCAGAGAAAACTAGAGGAGAAACAGAAACTATTTGAAGAAGAAAATAAAAGAAAAGAAAATGCTTTGGGAGAGCAACGAGAGAACTTCATAAAATACTTGGAAGAAAAGCACGAGAAAGAAAAACAAAAACTTAAGGAGAAAATTCAGCGTGAAACAAGAGAACAAGCAGAGTGTGAATATCTCATAAAACTCGAAAGAGAAGTAGCTGAAGCTTTAAAAGAAGCTGAAGAACAACTACCATGTAGTGCAAAACGAGCTCGTGACTGGAGTCAGTTTGGAGGTTTTATCGGAGCAGCTGCTGGAAGTTTTGTTGGTTCTTATGAAGACATGGTGTGTTGGATTATCAGAATAAGTTCTAAATGTCAAGCTCATAAGCAAACTGAAGGGTGAGTTCAGGTACAACCCCAATTCCAAACAAATTGGGATGCTGTGTAAAATGTGACCCTGTCTGTGAAAACCCAGCTAAAGTCATTTTTTTGTGATTTACTATTTTCTACACAAAATCATCCCTCATAAAGATGTAGAACATTCTGTGAAAATATAACCTTTATATCTTTAATATTGACTGAGTAAGGCCGTGTCAAATATTGAAATCATAGTGAAATTAATGGTTGAAATCAAACCTGCTGATAGTATGGGCCACAAGAGAAATATAAAGGAATAATTCAAGAGAGTTATATGCTGTTATCAGCATATGTTGAAGTAGATTTGTCTCTTGAGAGATTATGCACCGTTAATGCAGCGTCAGATGCCGAAAGCGCCGTCAGTTTGTACTTTCTTTACTCTCACTTTGTATAACTGACTTAAGGTTAAAACGTTCACCAGCATAACTCTTGCGCAAAGTTTGCACATTGCTTAATATCAGCCTTTACGGTTTAAAACAGAAATATTTCCAATATTGCGACATAACTGTGCCCCAAAAGGGGGCCTAGGAATTGCGGTACCTCAAGCCGCCTCACAGGAGTGTTCATGGGCAAATTAACCAGACAGGCTTTTTAACCAGCCTATGATATTACATTAACAGCTAAAGTGCTAAACTTATGTGCCCATTAGTTGGTGTGTATTCAGGTTAAGTTAAGTCCCCACCAGTACAGAAAAACCTTTATACACACACACACACACACACACACACGAATACTCAATCTGTAATTATAGATTGATTATTATAACCAAATCTGTAATTATAGACTTTGGTTAAATCAGCATGTCCGTCTTTATTTTTTAAACATCCACATAAAAAGCTGCAGGATAGCCCACAATTCAGCAAACATTTGAGAAACAGACCAAACAAAAAAGAAACAAACATCACTTTTCCAAATATTCTGTATGTTGCTTAAAAATGAAATATATTCAATTCAATTGAAAAAAGTTTTTTATTAATTTTTTTTTTACCCAGACATTTAAAAATAAGTCATTATAGAGCTGCAATCGCAATACAGTGAACCGGTGATATTTTTTATACTTATCATATGGTCAAAATTTCATACCGGCCCATGTCTACGACAGACAGGAGCCAAAAATTAGGTATTTGGCAGTTTGAATGTCTTACTGATCTGACACCATATCCTAAGAGAGTTATTAATTGTGAAGTGGGATCCTACTGCAGCTTTAGATGTCTCTTGGGCAGCAAATAGCAGTGAGGAGAGAGACGAGTTTGAAGCACCCCGGTCAATCATAAGCCATGAAGGGAGATCAGCTGAAAGACTCGGGCATGGGTCCTGCCAGAATGCTAAGGCTCTACAATTGACAGCCCAATAGTAGTGTTGGAAATTTGGCAAACTTAAGCCCCCCCAATGACCTAGACTTACATGCAGTTTAGATATTCTGTGTGCTTCAAAGCCCCCAGAAAAATGGCAGTACAATAGAATCGAAAGTTTTAAAGAACTTTTTGGGCAAATAAATTGGTAAGATATTTTGATATTTTTATACCATCAGATGTCATCAAAGTCACCAAATATTTAGGTTTTGACTGAATTAATTTTTTTGTACTGAAGTAAAAGTAATATTAAATATAACATACAGATAAGCATATTTTACATAAAAATATGGTTAATTTAGAGGTAAATAAAAAAAATCCCCAAAAAATGCATAAATTGATGTTCCCTCAGAAGTGAGTGCAGATCAAAATGACAGTGACTTTCTTTTTAAAACTTTTGCAGTTCGCAGAAGGAGTCCAGACTTGGATCGGCCCCACAGTAAGTCAACTGCTGTATTTGTTTTAGTTTACATCTGTTGAGCTGTTTAACATCTATTAAACAACGACTATCAGTCTCTCTCATATTTAGTGCTGTTGATACTAAACAAGACAAATTGACAAATGATGTATCCCTAAGCATATTTCGAAAAGCATAAGCTGCTTCTTCACAGAAGCATCAGGAGGCCAGAACACTGTCTGTTGTGTGATTTGCTTTTCTCCAATGAGGAATTTAGAAATGACAGAAACTGTATCGGGTGACTGGGTGATTTGGACATACTGTAGGCTTATAAATGACCTGTCTATAACTGCATCATTACAGCTCAAACTGCTCTGAAAGATTGATTTGAAAATTTGGTATTGTTAATTGTTATCTGTTTTTAAAGTTCATGCAATCATATCAAATCTTCTGATTTAAGAAAATACTATTTAGATCAGGTCCATATCACCATTCCCTGAATACCACAATAATTAATTGATCATGATATTGTAACATTATATTTTAAGTACAAATAATGTTGTGGCCTGTAGTGTCTTAAAACTATATTGTTTCAGAGGAGAGTATTGTTGAATGTGTATAAAATGGGGTTTTTAAAACTAAATAAACTAAAACTAAAATGACACAAAAACTAAAATTAGCACTCAAAACATCATCACTTTTGCATTTGATAGGAAATGTAATAATTTTAAAATTATAAAATATTATAGAACATTATAATTGGTACCTGTTATTGCCATCATTGCTCCAATTGAGTGTTTTGTAAGAGCAATATAACCACATACTGTATGCTGTTTTAAGATAAATTGTTCAGTTGTTCACCTCATGCAGTTAGAAATACAGTACTAGATGTAAAAATCATCCAGATGCCCAATTCCTAGCCATTTCTAAGATACAACTGATTAAACTCAATTGTGCAAGTCTGTTCTACTTGGTTGATAGCTTGTGACAATATTTAATAAGGAACAAAGAGAATTAAATTCAAGAGCAAGAAGTGCATTTTCAGAAAGGCTTCCTTTCAGTGTTCTGAAATAGAGTATTCTAATAATATTTTCAGTTTTAATGTGACTTAGTGAAACTTTCAAACATTTGAAACATTTGCACCTGCTCACTTTTGTTCCTATTTTTGTTGCAGGCAGGAGGCATCGCAGTTCAAGTGTTGATCGCCCCAATAGTATGTGAATCAACTAAGTATACAAACACAGTTAATATGAAAAATGGTCATTTTTAAAAGTCAGTCAAAGTGGAAACATGATGTTTACTTGTGTACTTCCAACATCTACCAGCAGGTAATGTTAACAAGTGTTAAGTGTCAGCCATGACAAGGAGGAGAATCCAATTGTAAGCACAGAAGTTTATTAAAACAGATGATCCAAGCCAATAACCAACTACACCCACATAAGGGAGTCAGGAACATAATCCACACAGAGAAGGCAAGAGAGCATCAATAGGAAAACGCATACAGGAACATCAACTGACAAACAACAACTCAATCAACCTAAATCAATCAGAATACTATAGACTGCTACAAATCCATTTTTTTTCAACATCAAAACAAGCAATCTTTACACTGCGAAAGTGAAACAGAACCTGCATCTGACATGACATTTATGTTTATTTACACAGTTTAATGCTGCTCAAGGCTGGCATACTCTATATCAGGGGTGCCCAACCCTGCTCCTGGCGATCGACTGTCCTGCAAAGTTTAGCTCCAACTCTAATCAAAGACACCTGCCTTTAATGTTTAAGTGATCCTGAAGACCCTAATTAGTTGCTTCAGGTGTGTTTGATTAGGGTTGGAGCTGAACTTTGCAGGACAGTCGATTGCCAGGAGCAGGGTTGGGCACCCCTGCTCTATATGATTTACACAACAATTGCATTATGTAAATAGCCTATAAATAATAATAATAATAAACTAATTACAGAATAGGGCAATATCATAAAATATTGTTGATTATTATCTTGATATTGTAATCATGATTATTAAATTAAGATTTTTGTGGGTAAAGAGCACATCATATTCTGGCTACAGATGAAAAGTTAAGATGAAAAACATTTATGAATTTATTGCACATTACAGATGACAAAATCAAGAATTCACTGTGGTTATTTCAGTAGCATGAAATAATTAATCATTAGAATTGGATAATTGATAACAATAGCTCTCACACAGGTTCAGTTCTAAATGACTGAAGTAGCGGCATGTGACCAAGTAATCAATGCAACGCTATCTGCTGGTAGAAATAATCACTACATGATTGCTCTGACATATTTCTCCAATGCAAACAGCAAGGGCTTGCTTGCAACATATTTGCGGGCTGTTTTGAAATTCCCCTGGGGACATTTCAGCAGACAGCTCCAGTCAGGGACAGGACACCAAAAAACAGGACTGGCCCCAGAAAATGAGGCTATTTGGCCACCCTATTTTTCTAATAACCTAATAGTAATTAGGACTGATATAGTAAAAAAAAATAAAATCAATGTTTGAACATGTTAATAACTCTGTTAACACAGTTATTAATTTTCACATTATTACTGTTTTATTCTGACATTAGGCCTAAAAACCTTTAGGACGTCAAATGTTCTGTGGTTTCTATTAAAAGGCAGTTTGCTTATCCCTCTTTCTCTTCCTCATGTTTTTCAGTGTCAATACAGGCATCTACAAAACCAGACCTGAACCTGGTGTTGTGTGGAAGTGATGCTGCTCTGAAAGCCTCTGTATTGGAATGTTTCATGGGGGAAAAAACACTTTCCATGTCACATCAGACGTTCAGCTCAGAGTGTGTGATGGAGGAGGAGAAGATTCATGGTCATCAGATGAGTCTGGTGAAGCTTCCAGCTCTGATCCATCTCTCAGAGGAGGACGTGATGCATCAGACTCTCAACTGTGTGTCTCTCTGTCATCCTGGAGTTCATGTTTTCCTCCTCATTGTTCCTGATGCTCCACTGACTGATGAAGACAAAGCAGAAATGGAGGAGATCCAGAAGATATTCAACTCCAGAGAGCACTTCATGCTGCTTTTCACCACAGATCTCACTGTTGGAACACTAGTGACAGATTTAGTCAAATCCAGACCAGAATCTCAGAGGTTAATCAGTCTCTGTGGAGGTCAGTACAGAGTGATGGGGTTAAATGAACCTGAAAACTCCAGACAGATCCCAGAACTACTGGAATATATAGAGAACATGAAGAATGAACCGTATTCACTTCAGATGTATATGAAAGCTCAAGAGAACAGAGTCAGAGGTGAAGCAGAGGAGAAATATAAAGAAGAACTGAAGAGAATGGAGAATGAAAATGAAGAGTTAAAGCAGAAGATTCAATCAGAAGGTGAGTGGATAATATTCTTTTAAAATAAAATGTTTTTTATACGATTTCCATCATGAAGTTCAGTCTTGCAAATCTGAATCAGTGTTGTCCAGCCCTGTTCCTTGAGGCACACCAACACTAAATTTTTTTAAAACTCTTCCTAATCAAATGCACCTGAATAAACTCATTAGCCAATTAGTAGAGACTCCCAAGACCAGTGCCTTGTCCAAATACCCGCACTTGCAGTCTTGGCCAATTGAGAGCATGTGTGCCCGACAGCAAGTAAGTGTGCAAGACTGTCCCAAGTCTTAAAATAGCCGAAGCGCAGTGCCCTTAATGCACACT